GGCTTGAGCTTTTGCTTGAGCTTTTATTGAGCTGTTTCTCTCTTGTTTGAAAGACTTTTGTCTTGTGTAGTGGCTGAATTTTGGATTTTCCAAGAAAATTACCAAAAAAGGAAATTTTTAGGGAATTTTTTGATCAGCGGAAAGAGTTTTTTTTATAAAAATATAAATTTTAATATATTATATATATATATATATATATATATATATTTAACCCACAACCATGCTACTTTAATGTGTCTTTATTGAAATATTGAGCGATATCTAAATATTTTATAAACTTTCACAAAGTGATTAACTTGTCATTTTATATTATTAGTTAAAGGACTATATTACTTAAAAAATATGAGAAGTCTACTAAGCTAATTCAGACCAAACAAAATTAAATTTAAACTAGGTACTCTAAGTTGAATTTAGGAGATAATATTTCACTCTCCTAGTAGCTTGGCATAGTGTCTCTAAGTCAATCAGGATCATTGCCAACAGTTTGTCACTGTTGATTATCCCAAAAAACAATGAATTGCTAAAGTTGGCATTGAAGAAAAAGGGAAAGAGGAATATAAATCAAAGCCTTCCAAAAGATTCTTGCTTCATTTCACAGTTTTCTCTCGAAAGGGATTTGCTTGATTGGGATATTCTCTAAGCTTCATAACATTTGAAGAACTTAGCCATTATTGAAAGTGATTTCAAAAAGAATATTTGAGAAACTTATCCTTCTGCTGATATATGGATTCACTTATCACTAATAAGACCAGTGTCATGTTATGAAAGAGTTTGCTTGATCAGGATAAAGAAATCTTTTCAAGAACTTTGTCTAACTAGAATAAAAACTTGGAGATCTTAGCTTTTGTTCAAGAAAACCTTTTCACCACCTAAAAAACTTAATAAAAAATGGGAGTTGGATCTTCTATTCCTACCCGTCATTTGCTTTTCAGTATTATAATTGTTTCCTGAAGGTTGAACATATATGATTGAAGTAAAAACTTTTTTTAGAACTTTTTTTTCTATATCACTATTGATATATTGAAACATATGAGTATAATCAATAGAAGCTTGTTTACTTTTCCTGAAACCAATGTGTTTCGTGTCAGCCAATTATCTTTAGTAAGGATTTGTACTATCCAAAATTCAGGATCAAACTGAAGTAGATGAAATTTTCTAAAAAATCATGAAAGCGATAGCTTTAAGAGGCCCAACAGTGACTGAAAAGGCCCTTTTATTATCAAAAACCTCTATATACCTCTCACTTCAAAGGTGAAGAAAGTCTTTATGTACTTTACTATTGGTTCTTTTTTCTTTGAGAACTTTTTTACCATTGGTATCAAAGGTATTACTTGATTTATTCTTGATTACTAAAAGTCAAGTTTTTGATTAAAGAGGATTGTAAACAAGTAAAGGGGAAGTAGAGATGACTCTTAAAGTCACTCTTCAAGATATTTTAAGAAAAGTATTAAAGACTTTTTTAGTAGAGAAGCAAAAAACTTCTTACAAATATCTTTTTTGTGTATGATTAGAGGATTAGCAGAAAGAGTTTTAGATATTTATAGTAAATACAATATATACTGTAATTCAATATTTTAAAATATATAATCTCAAAATTATAATCTTTAATTTTAATATAATAATTTATTAAGTCTAAATTTTAATATATTATATCTATAAATATTTTATAAATTATTTAAAATCATATATTTATAATAATTTAAATTTAAAACTTGATATCATATTATACTGTATTTTTATATAATTGAATACTTGTAAAATCATCTTAATCATCATATTTGAAAAAAAAACCTTCCTATTTCAAAACATATCAAAATATTGTTAAGGTTAAAAGCAAAAATATTAAATATTAGTTATATATATTATTTTATTTATCACGTGATAATTTCCGGTAATTTATGTTAGAGATGTACAGTATATTATACAATAAAAAATATTAACTTTTTATTATAAAAGAAAATCTATAATTTTTGTAAAATTACTCAGATGTTTAACAAACTCATCGGTTAAACTCATAACCATACCACCAACCTTTCAAAAATTTATAATACCTTTTTTTGGACAATCCCGAAGGACATTCCCCTATTTGTTATCTGCGTAACACCTTATAATGTATACAGTATGGATGTTATGAATCATTACCACGTGCACGTGACAAGTACCGAATGACCAATCGGACATCCATGAAAAAGATGCATTCAACGGAGCCCACGATACGTGCATTCCGTGAATTGCATGAATGAAATTTTTAGTTGATAAATCAATATTCATATTGCTTTCTTTATTTCTAACTTCTTATTTAAATAAATTTTTGTTATAAACTATTGAATTATATTATACAAAAACATTAATATTCGATCGAGTCTAGACAACTATTAACTATTTTAGGGTTAGAAAAATCAAAATCCGGAATTACTGTATATAATTTATTCTATTCGATACCATAAGGAGAATCCCTGTTTCCTTTTACGAGGAAATAAAGAAATGTATTCGACGCATGGAATGATACTACAAAAAAAACTCGATTTTTCGGTATTTTACACAATAGAAAAAAAAAAAAAAAAAGAAAAAGAAAAATCGAAGATAAATTCTTAAAGGTGATTGGTTTTTTTTTTTTTAATACATAAATCTTATGAGAAAACACAGCGATGAATACATTCTTTTATTGTACAGAATGGGTCGATTTTTTTTGTGTGAAAAAAAAAAAAAAAAAGGAAAAAAGTCTCTCCAATGTTCCCAATATATGGTGCTAAAAAAATGGAAATTCTAAAAAACATGATTCTCTAATTACGTTGCTGACCACCAACTCTTCCGAAACCTTCATCGTGACGCGTAAATTGTATGTTATCACTACCTTCGTGAGATGATGTTGATTGATTATAATTTTGCTGTTGTTGAGGGCCTTCTTGTACATGTTGATGCGTAGATTGCGAATACCATTCAACTGGTCGTGAAGCTGGTGGTTCATACTCATATTTAACCTGTATAGGATGTTGATTATCGGATTGGCGTTGTTGCAGATGATCTAGATGCTGTGGATGTTGATTTGGTGGTGGTGGTGGCGAATAATCCGTTGAAGGATGTTGAAAATGTTGTTGATTATAATAAGAAGGATGTTGCTGATAGGTTTGTTCTGCTGTGGTTTGTCTGACCGAACTTCCTGCATTCATTTCTGCATATGGCGGTCGATTAGGATTTCTATATGATGATGGCGTCTGTTGACCTGCAACGGGATTAAGTGGAGGTAAACTATATGGTGGAGGTAATTGTTGTTGATTATGACTGTTGTGTTGTTGCTGCTCCGAGTGATCGTGTAAAAGTTGAGACTCCATTCTGTGCATATATTGCATATGCTGCAAATGCCAATGATGATAAGATAACGCATCCAATGAACAAGCGGCAAGTCGGAAGAAAAGTAATCCCAATAGTAACAAATACCTGTGACTCGTGTAATGTTGTGGTTATGGGGTCGATCATCATTTTTTGTTCAACTGGAATGCTAGATGACTATTGTTGAAAATTTATTAGCACACGAGTGTTCTAATTAGGAACACTAAATAATGTGAGATGTATTGGATCGATCTCTTACTACCAACACTTACAATAAAAAATTAAAATCAAAAAGAAATAAATATGAAAAATCTTACAGTATCGAATTGTGTTCCACTTTGAGGCAACCCCATTCCAAATCCGTAAGGACTTTGATCTTGATATTCCATCTGTCACAATAAAAATAATTCATTATACTGCTGTCGAATTGGTTTAGCCGAAAGAATTTCATGAACATGCATAACCTTTTCTGTCTTAACGTTGGTTTTCTCCTCTCTTGGTACTATGTCTATCAAAAAATCAAACATGTCTATCTTTTTAATAGCATTCGCAATGTCTGATCGCTGTAATGTCCTTCTCTTGCATTCCTCAGCATGAAGCCTGCAATCAATCAATTGGGGACACCATTAGACAATTTTCCTTTTTCGATGACTTTGACAAAAAATCTTTACCATGCTCTCATAGTTAATTCTGTTATAAAGATGTCACAGCCTTTAGCAAATAGGATAGGTGCCTAATTTATAAAATTATGAATACACCTCTGAGAATTGTATACGCCTCGACCCAGAAACCTTGCTACTTACTTCTGCGCTGATCATCTAAATATAGAAACAATTGAAAAAGATTAACACGCGATGTTTCAGGGATTACAAGAGAATCGGTGTAACATCGTATCGTCTCACGCACACAAAAATTATTGATAATCATTAATTTCCTATAATCTCGGAAAAAAAAAAAAAAAAAAAAATATATATATATATATATATAAATATCACACTTTACCTTCACTTCCTCATCAGTTTTCATTACCTTCTTGATTCTGGCAAGAGGTAGCTGGTGAACTTTGAAATCGTGATCGCCATGCCTTATCTCTTGTACTTGCTGCTGCCAAAAGCTATCAAGAGTATTATAGTGTTGAGGTTGAAACTGAGTTTGAGTGTGATGCATGGAAGGAGGAGGTGGTGGTGCAGCAGCCAAAGCGACTTGTTGTGTTTGCGGATCTATTATGAGATGCTGAACTGCTGGGCTACCTACAAGCTGATGCTGAGTTATTCCTCTTTGTTGTCGAGCTAGGTAGTGTTGAGGATTCAACTGATGCGAGTTCGGATCTGCCATAAGTCTTAATCAACGACAAAAAATATACTAAATAGGTGCGTTACTTAAAAGGATAACTTTATATAAAAAAAAAAAAATGTAAAATGTAAACCAAAAAAAAAAAAAAAACTATCCCTCACTTTTTATATGCGTCTTAAAAAAAATGGTTACTAATAATATATATATGTATATTATTTTTGGATTATCGCGTACGTATTGACTTATGTGTTACCCGGTCTTGGCAAAGTTATGAAACGGAATTAACTTTAAAAGGATTAAATGTGCTTTGTAAGTGCGTGGTGGCTTGAAATATTTCACACTTCAAAAATTCGAGCTCTAGCTTTAGATCGAGGCGGGAACAATTGATAATGCTCCGGAGAGAATTATTAGAGTAGAAAACTTTTTCCACGATGTCGACCAATCCAATGGCTTGCTTTAACTTTGTTCATTCAGAGCCAATTGGAGGAATTTTCGCATTATATCCAATGTTGTGTCCTTTGTGTTTGTTTGTTATGTTGATAATCTATTGTAATTGTATTAATCTTATATTTTTCCGATTTTTTTGATAGAAAGTGAAGCCAATAATGACGGAAATATCCAATATTCCGTGTGTAATAATGAAAATTCATACGCACAAAAAAAATTTTTTTTTTTTTTAAAATAATTTTCTCTTTTTTTTTTTTTTTTTTTTTTTTTTTTTATAAAATCTATTTATTGTGTGAATGCAAACAAGAATCCTCTCGGTGTTTATATAAGAAATGGATTTGAGGGTCTCAGCGCGGAGACGGATCAAAATATTGGTAAACACTAAAAATTAGGTAATAAAACAATTGGCTATTTAATATGGCACCGCAGATTATTTATATAGACGGCGAAATAATGTGCGATTGGTTCATTATTATTTGAGGGGTGGTTTAATTCATTTTACTTCCTCCGTCCAATGACCCTCCTCTATTGTGTAATGTTATTGTAATATTGAAACATAATTGCAGGTATTTTATTATTGTATGATCAGAAATGAAAGAACCCTTTCTTGGACATACTACTTTATTTCTATCTGATTTTTTATTCGTGCATCAGACCACGCGTGTTTGATCCCGGTAAAATTCCGAACTTCCGATTTTTCCTGCGGGCGGTCGGTGCTATCCGATGAATCAATTTTTATACCAGGCGTTCATAATTGTTGAACAGATTTGGTCAGTCCAATTTTCATTCGGAAATTTTAAAGGTTTCCAATGGACTTGAAGGAAAAAAAGAAAAGAAAAAATTTTTTCTACCTAACTTATCGTGTAGTCCTGCAAATGGAAGATCGTGAACTTCGATGCGCAGAAAAATTTCCCATTCTCTCATTCCATCTTAAAAGTTACAGTACATATGGGGAAAATTTTGCGTACGTGCAGAAGACATTCTTAATCATCCGAAGAATACCTGATTATATGCAAGTTTCTCATAAGAATACACGAATTTTTTCAAATGTAACCATCTGATATATAAAAGAACCAAACATACGTGAACGATTACCTAACCATTTATACTAACCAATCATAGTTCTGTCGGAATACCTTATTTATTTTATCGTCAGGAGTTCCTTTTCCTTTTGATCCGTGACAAAAGTATCTCTATTGTATTAAATAATCAATCGTTTGGTTTCTGCTAATTAATTTAGATTTTTAAAAATTAAAAATTTATTATTTATTTGTGTTTTATTGAGATATTAAATAAACATCTTTAATATTATATGATTATCACATGACAATCTTTTTTTTTTTGCGAATAACTCATTGTTAGGTTAAATTGAGAGTTTATTAATCAAAGTATATATTTATTCAAGCAATATAGTACACATTATAGTTAAACTTAAATACAAATATAACCAACTCATTATAAACATAAAAATAGCCTTTGAACAAATACTTTTCTAGATTATACTTTATCACTAGCAAATTGTTACTATTAATTATTTTATTATGTTGTTTTTTTTTTTAACTAGTTCAACTAATAGGATGAAACTTTTATTGAAATATTCAGTAATACATTTTTAGATTATATAAGCAATTTGTATAGCTCTATTTTAACTACTTATTCTTTTTAAGTATGTCAATTTTACAACATAGTGGTATTATTTTCATTAGTTGTCTTATTCTACTTGAGCCTATAGTGGTTCAAGAATTTGCCATTAGACTTTTTATTTTAATCTTCAAGAAACTTGTTATTAGTAATCCTTAATAAAGTCTTATTTGTTGCTTGATTATAATGAATATCATAAATAATCCTTATCATGTTTTGGTTCTTAGCAGGCTAGTTGAAACTTAAATGGCACAGTCCTCTAGTCATATTCTTGTTATTCAAGTAATTCAATAATGTTATAATGATTAGATGATATATTTCTTATTTTTAACCATTCACAAGTTGACCTATAGAAGTTTTCCTTGGTTAACCAAAACCATATGATTTATTTTAAACATATCAATGTTTTGTAATTTTTAATATAGTATTAATACTTATTATCAACCTTTACAATAGCTGTCCTCTTTGATAGTCATTGATATCACAATTAAGTTGATTTCTTATTAATTTACTTTCTGACCTATTACATTTTCAACAGGTACAAATGATTGAAGTTTCTTTTATTTCCCATAGAGTATAATTTTAACAAGAAGTGGATTTTCTTCCTATATTTATTTAAGAGATTTGGATCAATTAGAATTTTTCTTGACTTGTCTTTAGAATCTTTACATATTTTAGATAATAGGATTCAGAGTTTTCCTTAGTACTAAAATCAGCTAAAACTATATGATTTGAAATATACTATAGTTAGATAGTAAATTTTATAAGTTATTTTTATATATAAGTATACATATAGTTTATAAGTATATATCTTATATTATATAAACTATATTGTAAAAAACTATTCTAGAATGAAATTGAACTAGTAATTCACAAATGGTGATTTGAAAGTATACTCACTGTACTATTGATCTATAGATATATTTTATCAAGTTATTAAAAAATAAAAAATTATATAAAGAATAAATTAAAAATAAAAATATATATATATTTAAAAATATATAAATATATAATAAGAAAAAAAAAATCACTCTTGAAGTTGCACTTAGAGTCTTAGATAAATATAAGACTTTAACGAGTAAGTTAGTTAAAGAATTAGCTTTAGCATCACATGTATAATGTACAGCTTACAATTGTTTAATAAAGCACACATAACTAGCCTGACAGAGGGTTATAATAAAATAAAATAAAAAAAAAAAAAAAAAAGTCTGGGTCCATTATAAGTTATTGGTTAGATATGGGTGGATACAGGATACTCCTCCATTTACATCATTGGTTTTTTCAAGAAAGAGTCTATCTGATTATGGTAAAGGTCACAATATACTACAACTAGGTTTTATGGTTGTAGTCACCTACTTCTGGTTATTGAGTAGGTTCTCTCTTCAGCTCCATCAAATAGATAAAGATTCGAAATAAAGTCACTGTAATAAAGTTGGGTTGAATGGCAGGCAAGACATAAGGGGATCAAATTTTTTTTGGAAGGATGATATGTCTCACCTGAGTATGTTAATTAGGAGGAATCTAGGAGGATCTATAAATCTTTTTTCTTGGTGCGTGAATTAGATTGATCTGAGTAATTCTTTCCAATAACAAGTTATCCTATGAATTGGAGCAATTAGAATTTTACAACATGGAGATACTGAAAATAGCTAAGAAACAGGTAGTATACTCTCAACTGATAAAGCCCTTGAAGAGTAACTAGCTTACGGAATCAAAGTGGTAGTAGTAGCATAAAATTTTAATCCTCACAAACAATTCTAGAAATGTTTATTAATAACTATTTCTTGTATATACATTCATTTGTCTTGACTTAAAACTTTAATAAAACAAGGCTAAGTCGTCATTTTTTAAAAAAAAAATAAAAAAAAAAAAAAAAAATAAAAAAAAATAAAATAAATTGACTACAATAGTAATCTGTAGGCAATAATGTTAGAAGTTGAAATGATTTTTACCTGAATTTCTAACAAAGCAATAAATTACTCTTAAAGTTATACTTAGAAAAGTAATATAATCAAAATAAGTAAGTTAGTTAAAGAATTAACTTTAGTATTTTATTTAATATATACTGTCTACAAATATTTAATAAAGTACACATAACTAATTTAACAAAAGAAAAAAATAAAAAATAAAATAAAATAAATTGCTCTTCTCTAAAATTGAAAATATATTTTCCTAGATATTGTGTAATAATATCATAATTGATGAAGATCCTCATTACTAGTTTTATTCTTTCCACTATTACAAAGCAAAAAGATTGTTGAGGAATTTGATTTTTTGAATAATAGAAGATGATTATCAGTAAAATTCTTTTAACTAGGTATGGCTGCTGGAAAATATTGGAAGTTATATAAAATGATTGAAAAACTACATAAGAATCTGGGATCTATTATCTGTTGTTTTATTATGTACAAATAAATATAAAATCAAAATCAAAAAAATAAAAGTATTGAGTAATATACTGAATCCAAGTAAGTTATAAGTACTTCAAACAGTCACAAGAAAATAATCAAGAGCATAGATGGATAAGTTCCTTAGATAATTAAAAAGAAAAAGAATATTTTAAAAAAGTTGACTTCTAATAAAAAAAGGTTTTTAATAGAAATCTTTTGAAAAATATGAAGTATTTTTATTTTTATTTTTTATTTTCTTTTTCATGTAATACACTTGCACAGTTTTAGATATCCTTTTTTCTTTTTATTTTCCTTTTTTCTTTTGTAGTTTCTCAAAACAATTCTTTAAAAAATAATAAGTAGTAATAACCTACTAGTAATAATGAGTAAATTAGAAGAGTATTTATCCAAAATTTACTATAGAACAAAATATTGTTTTCAAGGTTACACTTAAAGACTAAAGCTTTTTAAGAATTGAAAGTTGTTAATAAGTAAGTCAATATAATATTTGATTTAACCATAATGCAATTGTCTTATATCTTCATCAGTTTTCATAATAATTAA